ACCTCTGGTAAGATAGGTGTAATGTCTCTCCCTAAAGCTGCATGTCTGGTGACATCATGCTGGGTGAGCGTTGAAGATGTCACCAGTCCGACAGAAATTTAGGAAAGTAAACAATGGAGAGCAACATGGAAGGAATCATTATTGAATAATATGTAATAATTTCATATTTAAAATTCTTTCAGAAGTTTGAGTTCTGAATATGATCAGATTTTTCCTGTAATACAAGGACAACAGCAGTATGTCTATATGTGCAGTAATTATAACAGATAAAAAGGGAAAAAAGCCCAGAAGGGAATCTGATATTAATATATTATGGAACAGCTTAGTATTGTTATTTTACTCAATTTTAATGTGTGGCATAATTTTTGCAGATACAGATAGTACTTTGTGTAAATTTACCTTTCAGTAAATCATTCTTTTATTCTATTATTATACAGTGTAAGAGCCTATTATGGAATCTTGCTGCAGTTATAGTCTGAGCCCAGCTGCATAACCGAGGTCATGACTGAAGATTATAAAATTATAAGGTCATTGTTAAACTAAACGCTTCATTTCTAGTTTAAATCAGCTTTAAACTCTTTTTATTAAATGGAAAAAACATTATAAAATAAAACCAGGTTATAAACCAATATTTCATAGCTTAGCAAATATTATCAAACAACAAAGGGAAAAAACACCTAATAAAAAAAGGGTTGTGTAAAAGTGTTTTGTAAGATTCACGTAAAGTTAAATCAAACGTCACACTGCTCTGTGTTTCCGGTTTGGGTTCTCTTCAAAATAAATTCTTATCTGACGAATGACACAGTTCCACATAAAAAAAAAATATATATATATCTAATAATCAAGTAAAAAATAAATTACAAAATATGTTGATTAAATGTTATCGTTGGTAACAATATCAATATCCATAATACTTACGTGCAAGTAATATAACACTTTATTTGATGGAAGTTTTTTATTTGCTTTTGTTTTTTCATTTTAACAAGATTTAAGGCTAATAAAATGTTCTTAATTGTTTAGGGTTACATTTATTTTTTTTAAAGCTTTAGTAATCAATACTCTTGAGTACCAAAGATACTAATGTAAAAAAAGGCCAAACTCCCACAAAATATTTATTTATTTATTAATTTTACAGGGACAGTGTACATTGAAAAAAAGACAGCACATAAAACAGACCCATTATACAGATATAGACATTTTAATAGAATAGACATAAATTATTTGTTCTAACTTTTGTCACTCACTAAGCCAATTTTCACTTAGCTGATTGCTCCTTCCTGTGTTTCCAAAAAGGCCAAAGTAAATAACCCAGTCCTTCTTTTCACTGTAGACAAGCCATGATCTGCTTCTCTGTTCTCCATTTTTCATTTGGATGAAATAATAGCTGCATGAATCATGACAGCAGACAAGATAGAGGAGAGCAGGAGGCGGGGTTACCAATCTACTTGCTCTGGAGAGCAGAGTTCGCTGCTTTTAGATGTTGTCTCCAAAGTCTCCAGTAGCAGAAAAAGTCTCTAGATTTGGCGCTAGGAGCTTTTTAGAAATCAAAGTGCTAGAGGGGTCTGAAAAGTGGCTAAATATAGCGACTAAAGCGCTAGGTTGGCAACACTGCTCTTTGCATGGTTTGTTTTCAAATGGTTTGCTGCTGTCTGTTTGGACCTTTCTGAACATGTGCAGCAAATGGACTGATCCAATATGGTGGACACTGAAGGGGGGGGATGAGACACACTTAATATTATCAGCGTTCTGATGGCATTTTAGTAAAAGGATTGTTATTAAAAACATAATTAATGTGCACAGATAAGGAATGGTTGTATTAAACATACATATAATATACATAAACAACAAATATTAACAATTTTAAAGATCTACAAATGCCCATGCTCTCAGGTTCCACTGATTTTAAATGGGTTTATTAGTCAAGCCATTAAATTACGTCACGCTTGTGTATCTTATTTTGAAGAAATCTCCCGGAAGCGCTCAGTTTGTTTAACCGCTCGAGCTTGCGGCTGCTTCCAAAGAGAACTGCGAAGATGGCGGCGCTTCGGGTCGTGGCGCTCTCCGGGAATGGGAGAGCTCTCCTCACCGCTGGAAACACGCTCAAGACGTCCAAGGTAGATCGATAGATGAGTCCAGTTTTCACCCTTTGGGAAGGTGATTGTGATCATAGATTTAGGGATGATAGATGTTCAGGAGGCGAACCGAGGGTTAGCTCACCGGCTAACGGTGGACTGAGAGACAAGGTCACTTGTCTCCCTCTTATGTCAGGCTGGAATTAAGGACTTTACATTTATATCTTCTACTCTTTCAGCCTTAAGTTTAAAACTTCTTATCTGGATTTAAAGCTTTGTGTCGGAAAAAACCGTAAAGCAGTTGTATTTCCCGTTACCTAAAGCAGCCAGTTAGCAAAATGTCATATCGGACAGTTACAGCGCGTGCAGAGTTCAGCTGCAGCAGCTTTCTAATTACTAATTTGGATCAGAAATTCATTAATAAAATTATATTCTGGTTAAGGTGGGTAGAGGTGATGATGTTATGTTTGTTTCACACGGGTTATGGAAGACAATCTGTCCTTTCAATTCAGGAACGGAGCCTGAAAGTATGCGAGCTAACGAGTTAGCATTAGCACTGCTGACAACTTCCGGTGGAGAAAAAGCCGGTTCCTTCTCAGATCTTCTGCAGAGGGTTTAATTTTGGCCAATCCCCTAAATATAAAAACACATATTTTTGTCTGTTATTTAATGCGAAGGCATGTTGGAGCCATTTACAGACGAAAAAAGATTTGGAATTAAAGATTTTAGTTTAGAGGGACATATGTTCGAGAATAAACACGCAAATTTATGTACAAAAACACACAGATTACGAGATTAGAAGCATGTAAATTTAGAAGGAAACAAGTATTAAATGTGCGAGAATAAATAGACAAATTTATTAGAAAAAAACATGCAAGTTTACGAAAATATAAATGAGCAAATTTAGAAGGAAATGGTAGAAAATTGATCAGACTGAAATACAAATTTACAAGAATAAAATGCATATTTAGGAGATTACAAACATTACAAATGCAAATTTAAAAGGAAACGATTATTAAATGTACGAAATAAAAAAAAAAGAAAAAGAAAAAAACATGAGACTTTACGAGATTATAAACATGCAAATCTAGAAGGAAAGGGTAGAAAATTTACTAGACGAAAACACAAATTTGCGTGGCAATAATGCATATTTAGGAGATTATGAACATGCAAATTTAAAAGAAAAAATTGAAAATTAGCTAGAAAAAAAAGCAACTTTTTTGTATCGTTAATTTTTACTTTAAAACTTCCATCAGGAGGCCATTGTCTCATTCTATCACTAAAACCCCAAATTAATGATGCATTTGCATGAGCTTTATGTAGCAACATGTTTTATAATCTTGCATTGTGTTTGTACTTGTAAAAATGCCACTTTTAAATTAAACATTTAAATTCCCTTTTTTTTCCGCCTTTTAAATGTCCCTGAATGCGGTTTCTTAATTTTATTATTATTATTTTTTTTTTACTTGGATTTTACAGATATGACAGAAAAAGTGACAACTTCTTCAGATGTATTAATACCTTTGTGAGGTTATAAATCTAATACAGCAGATAGATTGCGTCTAAAATGTGATTTCTAAAATGTAAAACAGGTTGCAGATGGAGGCTGGTGGGGGTGTTGTGTTGTGAGGTGCAGGGATGTGACCATGTGACGTCTTTCTGTCTGGATATAGAAACGGCAGCGAAGGACAGTTTCATAAGTAACTTTGGATCGCTCACGTTAAGCAACAGCTTAAAACTAGATCCTGTTTTCCACCTTTACCTTAGTTCTATAGAAATGTATCAGCTAGTTTAGTCTGTTTTATTCATTATTTTTCATGTTATTCAAAATAAATGTCTGACCTCAACCCCTTGTTAGTTTTTTTTCTGGTCTGTATATTAAAATAGCTGCTTATAATCTTTATAACTTTGCACAACAAGCAGATTCTTGTCATCTCCAGAAATCCATATTTAGATCAATTTAATACTATTTTGTTTTATGTCACTCCAGCTTTAGTTTGTTTTTTAGAAACGGATCAGACTCTTCGTTTGCAGCCTTTATTCCCAGGCTTTAACTTTCGTCTCCCCCTCAAGGTTGCTGCTGGTTAGACTGAGACATGACAACAAAAAATAAACATTAGTTCCTTTCTTCGCTTCTAGTGGATTATTTATTCTATTCATCACTAAAAGTTTCAGTGACCTCCATTAAACAGACGGATAAATCAGCTACATGTTTCTAACTCATGAAATGAAAAGCAGATTGTAATATCTGTTAGTAAAACTTATCCAAGGACTCCTAGCTGAATCGACAGCTTTACATCTTCATGGAGAAATATGGAGCAACAGCTGAAAGGAATCAGAAAACAGGATGACTGGCTGGTTGTAAAACAGAGAGAAAAAAATTAAATAACAGGAACTTTCTCTCTTATAGAGGGAGAACATATGATTAAATGATTAAATAAGGTGACTGATTTATTATTAATCAACTAATGATTGCTTTATAAGCAGCATTTTCTTAAAAACTCAAGTTTTCTCTCATAATTATCTTTATATAACATGCAAAACTAAATCTTTTTTTTTTTTTTTTACAATATGCTGATGTAAACAAAATAAAACTTCATTAAATTATTATTATTAATTGTTCCAGCTGTATTAAAGTTGGCAGCAATAGCTGATGACGTTTTCCAGGCGATATGGTAACCAGACAAAAGTAGCTTCTATACAGAAAGAAAGTAGAGAAATAATAAAAAAGTTAAGAGCAGCAGTGAATGCACCGTTCATGGAGAGCAGGATTCCCCCTACGGTGCATTGGAGGGGCGCCCCCATCCAGCCCTCCCAGGGGATCAAATCAATAATTCAATCAGGATGTCCCAATCATATATTAATATCAATTTGATTTATAAAAAAAAAAAAGAAAAAAGCCAGCATCTAAAATCTCCAATATTTTCTGTTTCTGTTCAAAGTTTCTGTGCATCTTTGGTTACTTTACATAGGTCAGGTTTTTCATACCTTTTTGTTGTTGACTTTTCTTCTGTTTTAGCCATATTATTTGTTAAATCAATTTTTAACATTCTACCATATGTAATATATAATTAATAAATTGGGTCTATATGTGTATCGGCCAATTCTCTAACTTGCTACATCTGTATCTTATCAAAAATAAATTAATAGGGACACCCCTAGTAATCAGATTTATTTACCAAAAAACGTGAATCACATCTGCAGTCAGGTCTGCTTAACGTTCCTGTTTATACCTGCGTACAGATGATCCTTTTAGAAAACAACCAAAATGATCTTAGTCATGTTACTTTCCCAGCTTTATGGCATTTCATCCTCTACAGCCTCAATGTCTTATCGTGGTGACAGAGTTTGAAGACCGAATTGGAAAACAAATCCTTACGGGAAGTAAAACCTTTTAAGAGTTCAGAGGAAAGCAGCCGTAACGCTCCTGCTCTGTACCGCATCCGTCTATCGGAAACAGCTCTGGTGTTTCTGCTCCTCCTTACATGCTGGTTGGCCGTTCTGGAATTTTTGTCATGGGTATGGAAGCAAATCGTTACCAT